TGGCGGAGCCATGATTTCATATTAGAGATAGTCGTTCACAAAATTTTAAAAAATAATTAGAGGGTTCTCGTTTTATTCAGTGGCTCAAACCCTAACCGGTTAATTAGTTAATATACTACATTACCTACTCGTTTTGGCTCACTTCATACTATCATTTCATATTGATTAATAATATATTCATTCATTACAATTGTATAATTGTTCTGAATTTCAAATTTTAAAAAAAATGAGAGGGGGTTTGAGCCCACCCTAATCCCTAGATGGCTCCTTCACTATATGTGAGTTTAGTATATTACCGCTCCTGTTAATATAAAAGTTCTTAAAAAAAATATTCAACATGTACGGTTTTGTTTAAATAATTTGTTCTATATCGTGACTTGTACTAAAATTTCAATTTGTTATTTGGGAAAAAGTTGGAATATGAGAAATGACAACCTGGTATCATGAACAATATTTTGAATTTCAGTATGAAAAAAGAAGTGTGACATTTCGAGGGCCATAACATCGCAGTCGTATAGCTGACACCTAGTCACATTGGATATTACACAATGCTGTAACTGACATGTAGTCAGAATTCGGTCCCAAGTAAATTTATTGTCTCGTGCTTTTGTCTAAAACTTAAATGGTAAACTTTTATTGCAGCTGACTTGAAATCAAAACTTAACCTTAGTAGCTACACCAAACTGTTTTAAAAAAAAGGACAATGGTAAACGCATAACAATTAAAAAGGAACGAGGTGACAATTAAATGTGTGGCATGTACTTAAATTTTAGGTTACAATCTTAGTAGCACAATTGAAAAGAAAAGAAAATTAGGGTTTTTTTTTTGGGGGGGGGGGGGGGGCAAAGAAAGGTGAAAATTAGTAGCCAAATTAATTTTTTTTAAAATTAATAGAACACTTCACATTAGTTCGGAATAAAAAAATTCAGTCTTATTTCAATAGCGACTCCCTTAAATCGGTCATCGTATTGTTAGATTTGATTTGTCCCTTAATTCATATATGATTTGGTTTGAAGATCCAATGTTATTTTGAATGCTCTTATAGATGATTGTGCTCGTAGTTTAGGGTTAAAATTTTCATACCGTTTACTTATTAGGAATGAAGGAAGTAAGGAATGAGGGAAGTAATGAATCGATATGAAAAGAATCATTCTCATGAAGTTGTTTACTAATGATATAGAATAAGCACATGAATGAAGTTGATTCACATTGTTATTGTTTACTAATTCTCATGAATCAGAATCTAAACTAATATAATTACTAAAATGATATTACGGATTTTAAGGTGGGACGCACACATTTTTAATTCCTTATTTCAAATAAACACGATCATTCCTTTTCTTCCCATACCTAATACTGATGTTTAAACATGCAATAGTTAGACCTCCTTTGAACCGAAATAAAAAATAAATAAATGGGTCCGCCAACTACCTTTTGCAAAAGCGATAGTGTTGCATTGAATACCCAAATCTTGAGAGAAGTTTCAAGGTTTTTATACTTCACAAAATGATGGTGTTGACAAATAATAATGGATATTATTTAGGGAGGAAGGGCTCCAACTAGTTTTGATGATGAATTGATGATGATGCACGCAAGCAAACTGGATTTTGTTTTGGTGATTGAAAGAAACTCTTGCCCACATGTGCTTTGTGGTTGTGTTTCCACATACCGACTTTCACCTTTCTAATATTTTCCTGCCTCTTTTCTGACACATACTTGAATTGTTTAAGTATGAAATCCAAAGCTTTTTCAATGTTTTCCTCGTCTGTGGTCATTTTCTTCTGAAAAGAAATTTGGAACCCTCGGCGGAAGAGACAAGCAGCAACAAGCAACCAACAGTCTCATTATAACTAGATATTGAAATCGATAGACCAAACACAAGGGACCGTACCCACTTACATTTTTATAATAATAATCTAAGATATATATATATATATATATATATATATATTTGGAGAGAGGGACAACTATGCATAGTAAGGTGGCAGAGACAAGTTTCGGATTTGGGTTTTGCTTTTGGGATGTGATATGTACCACTTTGTGTGTTCCAAACTGACTCGTAATACCATTTAGGGGACATTTAGTGCTAAAACCTAAGTTTAACAAATTGACAATTACTTGGTAATGATAGTGATCTAGTAATGTGCACGTTTGATGATGATTAATAACAATGATCTATTTTGGGGTTTGGATATTCTGCGTTGATATCTTGTTTCAGATCAAAATTACATATCGTTTTGACCAACTAGCTATTGATTTAGTGATATTTCTATAACCGATATTAAAAAAATATCTAAAATTGAATTAATCTCTTGGCCCCATTTAAATCCTATAATTTTGACCACAAGCAAGATAATAATCAATACATAAATTACATCATCTTATGCTATATAAAGTTGTCAAACTTCTTACTAAAAAATTTCATCATTATCTAATGTCACTGTGATGATGATAAACTCCGTGAGAGGGTTCTAATAAAATAATACTTCTTTCCAATTTTACTTAGTCAATGATCAAATAATTTGTTTTCTTGGTCAAATTACCAGCTGTACCTATTATATAATTTGATATGCAGCTGGTCCGAGAGCAATATGCGTTTGAATCAAGTTTTGTTTTGCAAAAATTTGGATGTTGAAAGGTCACGAATTGATGCTACCATCGCTATATCTATATACAAGTCATTGAAATTTGAACTTCAAAATGAGCAAGTCATCAATGGAGATTAAAAATTCACTACACCATAAATATCGAGAGTCAACATGGACTAGCCCAGTTGAAAAGGACCTTAACTTGCTGATTAGAGGTTTCAGATTTGAATCCCCATGCCATCATAGTTTATTAGACTGTCGGTTGTCCTAAAAAAATAAAAATCAATCTCGAGGTTTCCTTAATTTATAATTTAGGGTTTCATGGCAAAAATCAAATATACAAAATAATCATATTAAAATTACAACAAAAATTAAGACAAGACGTAGCTAGATTCTTGCAATATAGTATTGTTATTGTAGTCACACCACTTTTGAGTAATAAATCCAATCATAAATTGGAGTACATGCAAATTGCAATTGTTTTTTCTTGGACGTGTGTATTAATGTATATTAATTTGCACACGTAGTATTCAGAGTTCTGTGACCATATTTACGAAGTTTCTAGGTTTTTAAGGGTTTTGAAACTTGAGATTACGATAGCAAAAATGAGCTAAAATATTTATGAAGTTTCCTCTAGGTATTTAGGAAGTTTCTAAGCGTTTTGGACAACTCTAAACCCTATAGAGTTTGCTTTACTTAATGTCTTGTAACAACCCAAATTAATGTATTATAATAATATGAACTGAGCCGACACAAGTGTTCTTTAAAATCTAAAAGTCAGTGCCGATCACCAAACTACCATAATTGTTCGACAATTTATCGTTGAAAAAATGTGTCATGCTCAACCTTGATTGATAGAATAAAACATGAACAACAACTTTCACGACCCATTTCTCCTTGATTCTGGACCCAAAAAAAAAAAAGAAAAAAAAGTGTAAACCCTCTAATAGATTATTAAATGCGTAACACGAAGAAAAAAAAAATCATAACAGAGTCACTATTTTTTCTCTGTAAAAATGCGAATTACATTTTAACACAAATGCATAAATAATTCAATGAAATCGTAAAAAGAAAAGTGTATGCACTCATGTCATCAAATTATTTTTTTGCATGGAAAAGAACGAATATTTTTCAATGTGTAGTACATGTGGGTATACTTTCCTGTTGGAAAGTTTCTCAATCAGTTGTGTGGGATGCACTGTTTTTGTCTGCAACGGTTGATGACCTTTTCCAAAGACCAGTACCCTTTTCATTGTCATACATGAAGGACCTGACCAATTGGGTACTTGAGATGAATGAGATAGTTAAACACACGTTTTCTGTAAGGAGCTTTTGTTTCAACAGAGATGGAAAACAGTAAATGTTTGCAGATATATATATATATATATATATGGATTTGAAACTTCCCACAAGTTTTCATGATTCAATCATAAGAAGTAGGGAAAATTAATACCCTTGTTGTTGTTGATATTGAAATTGGGAGATGACAGTTGATCACAGGAAAAAGCCTGTTGCTCTCAGTGCACAGACCTATATATGTATTTATAGTGCCTACATCACAAAGTTTACCTGATTTGTGAACATGAATGTCTTTTTTTAATTTTTAATGTCCTGTCCTTTTAACATCAGGAACTTTAGGTCACTGTTTATTCTGATACCATCAGTGTTACAGATGGTGATGGAAAATTTTCATGAAATTAAGGTTGTGAATTCAAGAATAGGGCATGCAGGTGAGAACAATTAATTAAGCAGTTGTTTTCTGTCCTTTCAGGGTGTAATGCCTTCATATTGAGTGAAAGGGTAATTATTTAAGCTAATTAATTTGTTATTACCCGTAGGTGTTTTTTAGGGTTTGTTTTGGTCAATTTCATTTATTTCCACCCATTCTAGTTCTTAATTGTAAGGATTTCTTTAATGAGCATTTACAGGGCCTTTGAAGATCCCTTAAGAGCCAGATCATAAAAAATGGTAAAAGAAAATACTTAATTCTCTTGTTACCAAAGAAATCTGCATGGAATTTCAAAATTTTAATTAATATAAGTGCGCGTAAGTACCTGAAACGCGCATTTGTTAGTTTACACGCTCCATTATCAAAACACACTATTCATTATGAGCTAAATAGTCCCGGCTCGTTATCATTCTAAGGCCTAAATTGTATTATTGAGTTCTGATTTTCTCTACCCATGTTTGTGTAGGGTAAGATGTACATATATGCCTTTGTGTTCCTATACACATACTTTATATATGTGGGGTAAATAATGGAGACAAACACATATTAACTTGATAGGCATTAAAGTTGTTGTTATGGTGGTTGGTCCTGTGTTCCTTAGCAATTTAATTGCTTTATCTTCAAACTCAGGAATCCAACCACAAAAAATATCAAAAAAAAGGAAAAGATTTAGAAAATAAGGAAATTATATAAAAATGATGTACATGAAAAAGACAAGCAGATATTTAATACTGAATTGAAGAATAGGACCCTCCACAGTCCACACACAACCCTCTTCTTCATCATCTTCCTTCTTTTTATTTTTATTTTTATTAAGAAGAGCTTTGGTGGAAGAAGACGTTTCCTCGTTTTTCAGCTGTTTGTATCTTCTGACAAGCCTTGAAATATATTTTTATTGATCCATAATTTTGGTTAAGGCAGACCCATATCCATCGATATCTCTCTCTCTCTCTCTCTCTTTCTCATATTAAAAAAGGTTCTTTGTTTCTCATCAAAGGGTGCTTGGCTGCATCAAATGATTTGAAAAGGGAGGGTCAAATCAGAAGTTCTCTCGTGGTTTTGATCTATTCGCAGGTACACTTCCACCCAAAAAGACAAGGAGAGAGAGAGAGAGAGAGAGAGAGAGAGAGAGAGGGAGGAAGAAGAAGAAGGTCCCGGATGGTATTGTCTCTATGCATGAGGCTTCTTTTATAACTCCCTCCAACTACAATCAATGAAAACAGATTGAGTATGGCCGCTATTAGAGAGAGACTGAAAAAGAACCAACGATCTGAGCATCTAACATTGGCAATGCCCCCCAAAATAACTCCTTGAAAAACGAAGTAGTAGTTTGCAAGGGTGAAGGCACTCTTTTGAAGATGCTTTACACGATCACTCTGGTTCTCAAATATAGTTCGTAGCTCCTCTTTTCTTTTCTCTATATTTTCTTTCTCCACATTTGTTGGACAGGGATTGTTAGCCATCACTATGCAGCACACGCACAGAAGTGGATAATGCACTCACACTAAAAGAGCTAAAGATTTATAAGAATATGCAAAGTGTAGAGCAACCTCCTCCTTTACTACTATATATATAAAGATAGATTCCAATAAAATCCTCCTTCTAAGAAACATATATATGGGACTGCATGGCATTGGCAACAACTTTTTTATTTTTATTTTTTTATACAAACGATATTCTAATATTTTGATTTTCTGGATCTTTTAGTTTTTTGGTCTCATATGAGAAAAATGTGAGCCATTGGGCTAGTTCTTTTTGTTTTTTTTTTTCCAAACAGTGCAATAAGTGGATTACGTGAGTTTAGTTATTTTCGTAAGTTCCTTAGAAGTCATGAAGGTGAAAATAACAACACCTTATTTATTTGGGAGTTTCACTAAAACACCCAAAATGGGGGCTTAAATTATAAAAAAATCCAAGCACTATTTAAACATATAAACACACCCAAAATCCATCATTACACACACTCAAAATCCATTTATAAACACACCCAAAAAGTTGACTTTGGGGTTGATTTTGGGTGTGTTTCTATGTTTAAATAGTGCTTGAGTTTTTCTATAAATACATGTCTAGGATTGAGTTTATTTATAAATTTGTATATTTATTTTGTCCAAAACCTCCCTCCCTGTCACGGATGCAGAATAATCTTCTCCTGATTTTTAGTGTTCCAACTCGAATATTTAAACATAGCATGATGCCAGGTCAGATGACTGATTTGGTGTGACAACCCAATAAGAAACAGCCACATATGCCTATGTTATCAACTCAAAATCTAATAGCGTCCACAGAGAGAAGGACTGGTTTCTGAAGACGTAGAATCTTTTCTTGCAAGGCAGGATTTGGCAGCTTCAAACAAATCAAACACGAGACAAGACTTTTCATTCTCTTTCTCTCGTCCACTTATTTGTCCATAAACTCTTCTGACAAATTTTTCACCAAAACCAGTTGGATGGGCAGGTGACCAAAAGAGGACCTGTATTTGGTTGGCGGCTCAGGTAACTCATTTTCCTGATTGTCTTTAAAGACAGCGTTTGAGTACTGTATTTAGGGTGCCGGGTGTTGCTCTGAAATTCTTTTACTGTAATTTGCTACGAAAACTAGCGTTATAATTGTTGTCCATTGTTCTATTTTCGACAACTCTGTGTTCATTCCTTTCAATTATACATACATAACTTTAGGTTCTACATATAAGAAGGCCAATTAGAAAATCATATATGATGAGGATTAGTTTGGTTGTGTCCTTCCTTTGCAAGTTCATCTGCAATGCAACTATATTCGCCTCTCCATAAGCGCACCTTGAATAAAGGTAATTCTTGTAGTTTTTTAAACAATTCTGGGCCAAAGTTTGCTTACACATGGCTTTCCAATCGTAGCCATTGGGCTGCAATTCAGTAGGGAAAATACGGGGGCTATTTCCAACATTTTTAGGATAGAATAAGTCTATGTAATCTTGATTTAAAAAAAAACTAACGGAAGAATTTGTTGAAAAACAAATCTACTTTTCTGGTACCAAATTTGCCAACAAACAATGATATGCATACACAGAGAAATTCTTCTATACGGACGTTTGGACATTACAGAGAGAGAATAACTATATATATATATATAGATACACAAAGAAGGAGACCTCGATCATTTAGAATGAATCCAATCAACTATATTATTCTGACCCATAGGAATCCTTATTTCCATAAATTGTCCAATTCCAAACTTGGGGAAATTATTGGGTAGCACTGGGCATTTGCCAACTTATAATACATACGAATAATAGGATGACGCCCGGACATACTAAGGAGCAGAGAATAACTAACTTTATATGTAAATGGACTTTAAGTCACCCGCAATTTTGAGCAGCGATGGTTGTCTTTTGTGCCAAACAAAGTATATGATAATTTGCTGATATATTATTTTTAATATGGAGGTATTTATAAAGATGTACAATGTGGTAAATTCTAAAATAATTACACAACGAAAGAAATCCTAATTACAATATAACTATACAAAGGGTAAGTTGTTAAAAAAAAAAATTATAAAAAGAAAGACCAAAATTCCTAATTACAATATATTATGGGTTTTTTTTTTTTGGGGATCCATATGTGTATAATAGCATTCATATATATGACAACAGAAAAAAAATAATAGCATTCATATATTTTGTATTTAGCATATCTACAAATATAGGTAAACAATCTGTGCAAGCGTAATCTAAGTAAATTAGTGTACCTGCAAAATATAGGTAAATTTAGTATGATATTTATAAATTAGTATACTTATGAATTAGTATAGGTAAATTAATAATCTGTTTAAGTGCTGATAAATTAATATGTACAAGTATGTAGGTAAATTAGTATATCTACGAATTAGTATAGATAGCTGTGCCCCACCTATACTCTACCTCTTTATCAGCAGCTCCTGGAGAATATTAAAATAATATATTTTATTCAATATGGACACAAATAACTGTGGCTAAAAATGCAAACTTTTATAATTAAAAATTTTAAAAAATTTTAAAAACTCAAATACCAAAAACAAATAAATTTTGTTACAATAATTCTTTGTACAACTATGAGTATACGTATTTTACAGATTTACAAAAGTTCCTCCTGACAATAGCATCTTCCAGTCTCCATATGCTTTCTTCTTCTTTCAATTCTCGACATCTTCATCTTCCCATTTCAAAATTGCATACAATCGGATTCAGTGAAGAAAATCCAAAATGCCCAAAAATTACAAGAAATCAAATAAAACCAAATTTAATTGAGGAGCAGAACAAAATTCTCAAAGAAATAGCAGTTGCAGTGGCAATGGCAGTAGGAAATGCAGCATACTCACCAAGAATTTAGGCACACTCAATATCCGGATAAAGGTTTCGAAGAGTGAGAGGATTTCAACGTCAAATGTGTTTCAAAAAACTGTAATGTAAAGACAGAGAACGGAAGAAGAAGAAGGAAAAAAAAAAAAAAAAGCAATTCAGTTACAATATATATATTTCTTAAATTTTGTTGAAGAAATTAAGAATGGGGTCATCATAAATGTGTTGTATGGATAATGAGGTGAATGAATAAAGATGGCTATCTTTTTCTCTCAAACACCTTTTTAACCCATCTCTCTCTTTACTCTCTTTTTTTCCTTTTCAGTGGGAGAAGTTGCAGAGATTTTGAGTCTGACAGAAGGGGCTTTCCTTTCCTTTCTCCTATCCATCTCCTATATTACATCTGGAAGGAAGCAAGGCACTGATAAAATCCCACACACTTACACATAGACAGGTGTGTTGGTGTCTCAATTAGCCTCTTCTTTCTCTTTTTCATGTTAGATAGTAGATACATCCTTCTGTATAGCTATAGCTCATGTTTTTTAGCCATAACTGTTTGGTCATCTCTCTCTCTCTCTCTCTAAATTTCATGGGTTTTGTGTCATTGTTGGTGAAATTCTTTCTTTCCTTTGCAGTCCAGAGATGATCATGAAGCACGTGCAAACTCAGATTTCCATCACACCAGGTACCAATATTATTATAATCAATTCCTTTCACTCTCTCTCTCTCTCTCTCTCAATCACTATACCTCTTTCTCTCTCTCTCTCCCTCTCCCTCTCTTTCCATATCTCTCTTTATCTCTATATAAAGCCAACATACTTCCATATCCTACTCTCTCTCCCCTTTCTTTTACTCGCTTCTCTCTAACTCCAAGCAGTAAAACCCAAGCTGCTTGGACACCAGGCAATAACCCAGCAGCTGAATCTTCCTACCCAACTTTTGGATTTGTGTTTGCCTCCCTTAATTTTGATCAGACATCAGATTTTGGGCTGCTCATCCCTTAATTCTCCACCACTCACTTGCCCAATTCATGGACACATTCAGAAACCAGATTCACAATCTACAAAATCATTTCTCAATTCTCCAGCACACACATAAGCAATAATAAACATATTTTTTATATGCATGGTGGAGAGAGAGGGAGAGGGAGAGAGAGAGAGAGAGAGAGAGACGTGTTCTTGTGGGTGTGTGAGTTTTGTTGTTTCTATTGGGGGGTTGGTAGTTGGGGGTGTATACATATATATATGAAAGGATATGATGTGGATTGTGAAAGCCTTTGTGTATATAAATATTAACGTAGTCTGTTTTCAGTAGTGAAGTAAAAAGCTGAGGCTCTTGCTCGGAGTTAAATCTCAAAAGCTGAGGCTCTTGATCAAAGAAGAAATCTGTGTTGAGTTATTGTCATGGCGACGTACTTTCATCATGGAAACTCCTCGGAAATCCAAGCCTCCTCAGACGGCGCCCTACAAACCCTCGTTCTCATGAACCCCGGCTACGTCCAATACTCCGACACTCCACCGCCGCCGCCACATCAGCAACAACAGCAACCTCACCAACCCCCTTCCGCCGGCAACCTCGTCTTCCTCAACTCCCCCACCAATTCGCTCCCTCACCACCCCTCCACTCTCTCCCACGCGCCGCCCTCCCACGCTCAGCAATTCGTCGGCATCCCGCTCTCCCACGACCCCAACAACAACAACTCCCCATCCATGCATCAGGCCCACCCCGACCTCTCCTCCCTGCATGCCTTCATGCCGAGAATTCAGACGCAGTATGCGCTTTGGAACTCAATTGACCCCAACACGGCAGCGCGTGATACCCCACGCGCCCAGCAGGGCCTGTCTCTGACCCTCTCCTCACAGCAGCCGGGGTTTGGGTCGTTCCGCGGGGCTACCTCGGACAGGGAGGTTCCGTCCGGGGAAGATATTCGGGTTTCCAGCGGGTCGAATTCGTCGGCTTCGGGTGTGACGAATGGGGTTTCGGGTATGCAGAGTGTGTTGCTGAGCTCTAAGTACTTGAAGGCAGCGCAGGAGCTGCTTGAGGAGGTTGTGAACGTGGGCAACGGGATCAGGACTGACTTGCCCAAGAAGGGTAGTGGGCAGCAGAGTAAAGTGGTGGCTGAGTCGTCCTTGGCGGCCGCCGGAGACAGCTCGGTAGGCGGTGAAGGAAGTGGGAAGCGGGCTGCTGAGTTGAGCACTGCTGAGAGGCAGGAAATTCAGATGAAGAAGGGAAAGCTGATCAGCATGCTTGATGAGGTAATTGTTTGTTTAGTGATGTTGATGAATATAGTTTTGTTTTGCAGTCTCTCTCTTTAAATTCGAGATTCGAACTTAACACCTCTTTCAGTATCTGAAATGAATTTTGAGTATTTTTTTTTATTTCAATGTTAATTATGTTACATGATAAAGTTAATGAAAGTATTTTAGAAGGTGTTTTACTAACAAGGATTATGAAAAGAGCTAATTGAGAATTTAGGTTTCTAAATTTGACATAAAGTGATAGAATTCTTAGGCTTGGAACAGAGAGCTCAAGCATATTCAAAGTTGAAGCAGCTAGCTACCAACTCTTTTCTGCAATTGAAATTTCCAATTAATTTAGTTTGTCCCATTTTTCTTGTTGGTTGAAGGTGGACCAAAGGTACAGGCAGTACCACCGACAGATGCAAATGGTAATTTCATCTTTCGAGCAAGCAGCTGGAATTGGTTCAGCTAGAACTTACACTGCTCTGGCCCTACAAACCATCTCAAAGCAATTCAGGTGCTTGAAAGATGCCATAACAAACCAAATTCGAGCAGCAAACAAGAGCTTAGGAGAAGAAGATTGTGCAGCAGGCAAGATTGAAGGGTCAAGGCTCAAATATGTGGACCATCAGCTGAGGCAGCAAAGGGCTCTCCAACAGTTGGGAATGATCCAGCACAATGCTTGGAGACCCCAGAGAGGCTTGCCCGAAAGATCTGTTTCCGTTCTTCGTGCTTGGCTTTTCGAACACTTCCTCCACCCGTAAGTACTCTCATAATCCTGAATTCTCCGATTCGTTATAGGGTTGTGTTTTCTGCATTATGTAGTTTTTGCAAGATGCAGTCTCTTAAATAAGATAGCTGTCTCTCTTTCCTTTTTTTTTTTTTTTTTGGGCTCTAAGTGTTCTAAGCACACTGTACTAAGAATGGTTGAATTTTGTGTTTCAGCTACCCAAAGGATTCAGACAAGCACATGCTTGCAAAACAGACAGGGCTTACTAGGAGCCAGGTACTGAAATCTAGGCACATTTTTTAAACGCAAAATCTTTCTTTTTTTTTTTTTTTTTTTGGATACTCAGTTGTGAGGAATTATTGCGTTGATGAGTTTGAGAATTTGATTATGCAGGTTTCTAATTGGTTCATAAATGCTCGAGTCCGGCTGTGGAAGCCAATGGTGGAGGAAATGTACTTGGAGGAGGTCAAGGAGCATGAACAGAATGGATCATCAGAGAAAATGAGCAAGAGTAATGAGGACTCTGCATCAAAGTCCACAGCTCCACAAGACACTGAGAATAATCAAACAACAAGCACTTTCAATTCCAAACAAGAGAACTCAACAAATCATAACAATATTGCTGCTCCTCCCTCAATGTCAATTTCCACACCTTCAACATCTCCAACAAACATGGTTCGAAATCCGTCTGGATTCTCTCTCATCGGGTCATCGGAGTTGGATGGCATTACACAAGGCAGTCCAAAGAAGCCAAGGAGCACTGAGTTTATGCAGTCACCAAATAGTAGTGTCCCGTGTATGAATATGGATCACAAGGCTCAAGAGGTAAACAATGAGCAAGTTTCTATGAAATTTGGGGATGAGAGGCAGGGCAGAGATGGGTACTCATTCATGGGAGGCCAGACCAATTTTATTGGAAGTTTTGGACAATACCCAATTGGTGAAATTGGCAGGTTTGATGCTGACCAATTCACACCAAGGTTCTCAGGCAATGGTGTTTCTCTCACTCTTGGCCTTCCTCACTGTGAAAACCTCTCCTTGTCTGGAGCTCATCACCACCAAAACTTTCTCCCTAACCAAAACATTCAACTTGGGAGAAGAGTGGACATTGGTGAAGCAAATGATCAATTTGGTACCATAAACACTTCAGCTCCTCACTCTTCTGCAGCATTTGAAAACATCGACATTCAGAACCGAAAGAGGTTCGTAGCACAATTGTTGCCAGACTTTGTGGCCTGATCATGATGCAAAGAATTTAGAAGACATTGAAGTAGCTTGACTGGCTGCAGGGGATGTCATGTCATTATTGCTGGTTTATAAGATCTTCATCCCAATATTTCTTTCTATGCCCTCTAAATACTTGGGGAACAAGGGAAATCAATGCATATGATAGTGTAAAGAAAGAAGATTTTACTTTAGTATAGGTATATACTTCTGCATAGAATCATTTCAGTTCTTAGACAGCTTTAGGATTTGAGAGCATATGGTTGAGGATTGTATATTAGTTTGTAAGTTTTGGAGATTGGATAGATGGATTGGTGTAAAACTTTAGTTTAAGTGGCATGGGTATACCAATATATATATATTGATATTTAAGTAACTGGGTGTACGCTAAATAATGCCATACTTCTGGTGTTAGCTACCAGCTCAACTCAAATAATGACTACTTTTTGGGCTTAGACTATTTGATCTGATAATATTATTTGTTGTGAACTCCGAGAATCTATACAATCTACACGCGAGCATAGAAGATGGATATTGATTTGCAGTAAATCAATCAAAATATCTTATTTGTTCTTCTCAAATCTACATAGAAATGGATTTACAATGGCTATGATATATATACATACATATATATATATATATATATAGGGTTTAGGCTCAAGAGGTAAACAGACAGGGCTTACCAGGAGCCAGGTACTGAAATCTAGGCAGCTATCCTTTGGGAACTATTGAAATTCTTTAGATCATTGAAAGTAGACAAATGGCTTAATTTTGATTAAGATTTTTATGCTTGAAAACTTATAGATAGTATTCTTACAATGTGAACAGGAATATCAAAACATTAGAGATGAACAATGTCCAAGATGGCACCTGGCATGGTCGGGCTTATACAATATATACAGGTAGCCTTGGGGGGAAAGTCATTCTTTGAGCTACAGATTGTTGTGAATTCATGAGCTTAATAAACTGGGCATTTACCATTCTAGAAATTGGCTACAGCTATGATTGGGAGTTGACTTGAAATTTAATTAAATATGGGACTAAGAGTTGGAGGAAATATCTTGTGGGTGCTCCAATATTTTGATTATACAATATCTGTGTTAACATAGGCGAAATTGCTTTGACATAAAAGAAAAAACTACATAAGATGAATTGATGGCTGCGTATGCATGCACGGTTTGGGCCTTTAGTTTTTGGTGAAATTCTTTATTTATTACACCTTAATAAATATTTGATATTAAAGAGGCAGTTGGGATTACGTCTCCAAGAAAAAAGGGAGGAGAGAGAAAATCATTTCTTTTATTTATATGAGAGAGAAAATAAAATTAATGATTGTCTATTTAAGAAAATTAAAACTTCTTACCATGTGAGGTTTAATCTCAACCATTGAAAGTGGAGTAATCTAATGACTCAAAAATTGTGTCAAAACTTGTGTAAAAAATATAGTGCCACGGATCTGCCCCTATATATATATATATTTTTTTTTATTTTTATAAAAGCGATATTAGGACCAGGGGTTTTTTCAAACACATTGTTAACATACCGTGAGAATTCAAATCTAAAATCACTAATCAACAAGTGTAGGCCCTAGATTAGACCCCGGTGGCATGGCTATGATTATTTTAAAAGAAGATGATGTGGGACTAATAGGAAGCATGATTATCTTGAGTAGTTTTGCTTTTGGGCCTTGACTTGGGTCTTGACTCTAAGCTTACAGCAGGACAGTGCATGTCCCATTAAAGTTAGCAAAGTATAAATATAGTAAGCAATATTTTAATGTATGATATCTGCTTATGGAGAAAAACTTGCATCCAAACGGTTGCATGCAACATCGCTCTCATACAGAGACAATTTATTGTTTATTTTGAGATAAAATTAGATGACACAGCCCATTTTCTTTTGTTTTTGTTTTAAGATATCTTGTATGCCAAGGATACCAAATATCAACAAGATTGCTTCACGTTTGCTATAGGGTGAGCTGAATTGAATAAGAGTCTTTTTTGGGGTGTGTTTTTAGTCTCCAGAAGGTTCTCATGAGCCCCCACCAGAGCATAACAAATTCCACTAATAGTATGAAAATTGGAGAAAGTTCTCACTGATACATCTCTGCTCAAGTAAAGTGATACTTACAAAATTAGAATTGAACATATGATTTTTCACCTTGATCAAGGTTACCTTGTGACATTAAGAACCCCAACAATTACAATTTTTACAATTAATCAGGAGTTACAAGACCAAATCCAAATGACATATGAAACCCTAGATGCACAATCTACATGGAACAAGTTCAAAATAGGGCTACTAATTCAAAGATGGTGTCTACTTCTCATAATCATCCTCCTTTCTCCCCAGGTTTCTGCAAAATACATTGGTTAAGGAAAGGGTGTGTGAATAGCTACTAAAAAGGTTTAAAAGGGTCAAGAGAAGAGGTTAATGACTTAATATGTATTGATCTTGTCATGGTTCACCGCTAGAAATGATAGTCTTCTTTTGGATACCTTGGATCTGTAACACCATACCTCAAATGCCTCAGTTAGGTCAGGATATTGAATATGCTCATTTCCCAACCATTCGGTCAATATCTCCGCCTGCTCCGCTGATGGAAGTGCAAGAATTACTGAAACAAATGTGGATTCTAGGGATTGCCACAGCTCACTATCCATTTTCACTGTTGGAGCATCATCACGGGCAGTTGTGACAGAATCGATCAGTGGTTTCGCAACCCTAACAAAAGGAAGCCACACCTTCACCATATGAAGCCGTTTTGCCATGGGCAAAATGACCGTGCCATAACCTATTGCTTCTAGAATCTTTGCCGCCACCTCAATAACCCTCAGCTTTGTCTCAATCAATTCAGCTGTTGGGCTTGCTTCCTTTACAACCTTAACTATTTTATCTGATGCATCCGTCCAGTTGCAGACAAGTTCCCTCATAATTTCCAACTTACATAATATCTGACATGCCCATGACAGATCTGATAAAAGTGATTGAAATGAATGCATCTTCCCTCCATCAGAAAATAATTCCATCTCACATAATAAAGCTTCTAATAGATTATTAAATCTTTCAAATAGTCTCTTCACACAATCTTTCACCTCAGATTTTATCTCGTCATCAGCTGCTAAGAGAGGGGCATCATCATCTTCAGTTAGCATGTACTCAAGCTGTTCCTGGGCTGAAGACTTGAGATCATTCATGATTGGAGGAGGGGAAGATGTGGCAAATCGGATGGTTGAGAAAAAAATTCCCATTATGGCTGATTGTTTGACTGGTAGGAGACGGGCAAGAATTGGCTCCACTTGTGTTCCGAGCCGTGGTATGATTTTTAAAATCTCCTCCTCCTCAGACTCTTCCCAGGGGACTGCTTCTAAGTAGTCCACACAAGCAGTTATGATTTGTGGGCATCCAAGATTGACAGCTACCTGAAGAATTCCAAGGGCATTTTTAACACCATGCCACATGTCATCAACGAAGCCATCTATTACATTGTAGAGAAGGCGGAGGACACTGACATGGTGGTCAAATTCTGATTCTTGGCAGTATACCTCAACACAGTTGCGTGAGTCAAGAATCTGACATGTTGGCCAATTTTCAGAGAGGCGATCAGCGAAATACTTGCTCTTTTCTATGAGGACCTGCGAGTGACAATAAAACCAATCATCTCGCCCATCCTGTGTCCGTATCCTCACAACAACATCACTGGTTGATCGGTCCCCAATCCTGATAGGAGTCCTTGTTTCAGAAACCTGAAAGAACAGAAACATTAAATAATAGAAGAAATAATAGGTTAACCATACAAAAACAGAAATAAGGAAAAATAACAAAACATTTTTAGAATAGCAAAGAAGAGCTCGGGGAAACTTACAAGAGATTCCATTGAAGCACTACACACTAATGAACATATGTTGAGCACATCCTGGAATCTGTAGATAAACATGTTTAGCACAACTGTTAGCACCATAAAATTTCCATACATAGTGGGTATTTTACCAAGTTCTTCCATTGTAATTACTATCGATATAGTTGAGCTAATTGTTGCAAATATGGTTTTAGAATAAATGAAATCACACCTCATGAGAAACATTAAGTGATCCGAAAGAGTTAAAAGTAGATTTCTAATCTTCTAGGAAACGTTTTCTAGAATAATCAAACCATTGCATTACAGAGAGGTGCTAACAAAACAGTCAACCACATGTAAGGTCTAGTTACATTTCAACTATACGTTGGTTCAAAAGATAGCAAAGCACTAACACCCAGCTAAAATCTAAACTAGGGAAGTAAATGCTTCTTTTCCTTTTCTCCTTTAAAATTGATAGAAAGAACTTGGGCACCCTTACCTTATAGAAGTTGTACCCCCATCTCCAAAGTAATACTTACAGATCCAACTCTGCCACACATTCTAGAACTCCAATTTATCTAACCATATGTCAAGTAATAAAAAGAAGAAAACAATTAAGGTGTCTTCATGAGGGCAAGTTCTTCAAGAATTTTTTTATTGTTGTTCAACAACCGACTTTCGGTCAAAATCAATACTTACACTAGCTAATGGGAAACTCTTTTAGAAAATATACAAGAACGTGATATGAATTAAAATGAGGAAAAAGAAAACGAGAAAGAAGAAGAAAACCAATGCATATACAGTTTAGCAAATGATGTTGTAATATGAAATTGGGCACACATTCTTGCCCTCATTTATAAGAAAACACCCTGTTTCACCTCTTTCTTCCCCAAATTCACTTCACTAAAGAGCAACTTTTCAGGGAAAGAATTTGAAATGATTATATCTTGCTTCTAAGAAAATTAACATTTTTGTACAAATAAGATAGAAACCCAGATACAGGTTTTTAGAGGGCAGGAAGTGATTAATGCATAAGGAGTTAATACCAAGAAAAATCCCAAGTTCAGAGTACAGCCCAAGAACAAAAGGAAAAAGAAAGTAAAGAATTGCTGCTAACCCAAATACAAAGCCAATATTGGAAGAGAGAAAAATGAGTTGAGGATTCATACCCTCTGTTCTCACCAACTACTTCTTTTCTGGAGGGCTTGATTTCGCATCAGCAAGCAACAACAGGGATAATTACTCATTGTTGAAGCTCGCTGTCTTGCTCGTGGACCCTCTCTCCCTCTCTGTCTGTGTCTTTCTGAGTGGTCAAGTGGGTCTTTTGGGTTTGAGGCCCATTGATATATGAGGCAATGCGAAATTCTATAATGAGGCTTAACTGACGTAACATTTTGGATCAAACCATTTGGAGCCCAAACTTCCGTTAATAGCTCTGAAACATTTCCGGCCCACAAGGGGAGGAATAAAATAAAAACTGAATCCAACTCAATTTTTTAGCAAATTAGACCAAAAATAAATAAATAAATATGAACATAATTTACTTAGAGCATCTCCAACAACCTCTTGAATAACTTTGGAATGCTAAAATATGCGAGTCATGTCAGCAAAACTCTCTCCAACAGACTTGTCAAACTCAATTACCAAAGTTGCAACCTATTTTTCTCTCTTCAAAACTGACATTGGCTTTTCAAAACATTTCATTTTGCTTTGAAAGAACAAAACCTACATTGAAAATGCTAAAAAACTACAAACATTTTCTTTTCATATATTAAATAAATAGACTTTCTTCACATGTTTTGGTTTTTTTTTTTGTTTTTTATCATAGAAAAATTAATCACTGAGATTATAACTTTTGGTAATAAGCCATTTTCTTCAATCAACTGCACAATATCTACCAAACCTACATTTACAGCCAAAATTATACACTGCAAATCTAGAAAGCACAAATGACATTCAAAAGACACAATAACATAACAATAATCATAAATAAATAAGCCCCCCTCTCTCTCTGCTTCCTGAACCCTAGCCCCCCTCTCTTCTAGCGCCGCCCGCGGAGAAGTGGTCACCGCCCCTTCTTCCCCCCTCCCCCCTTTCTTGCCTCCTTGCTCCTCCTTTCCTCCTATCCTCCCTTCCCCCCTTCTCCTCCCTCTTTTTGGTTCTTTGTTCTGTTTTTTTTTGGCTTTTTCTCCATCTTCCCCCCTTTCTTTTTTCTCTGGTTCCCTCTCCCCCTCTCTCCTTCTTCCCCCTTCCTCTCCTCCCTTCTCTATCTCTTTTCCAGATCTCTACCTTCACTTTTTTCTGTTTTTTTTGGCTTTTGCTTTCTGTTCTTTTCTCCCATCTCCTTCTTTTTAATTTCTTTTCTAATTTTCTCCTTTACTCCCTTTTTTTTCCTCTACCTTTTCCTCCCTCTTCCATTCCCTCTCCCCCCTAAATTTTTTTCCTCCACGGGTTGCTGCTCTGTTTTTGCAGAGCCAGTTCATTTTCGTTCTTCTTTTTTTTGTTTCATTTTTCCTTTTTTTTTTTAAGTTTAATTTGTTTCGTGTTTTAGGCCGTGAAGGCTTCGGTTTTATTTTCTGGTGTTCTTTACAGTCATGGATACGGCAATTAAAAATTTATATTAAAATATAATAATAACAATATATATAATTGAAAACATATTTTAATTAACATAAAAATTCAAATTCATCAACCAAATTCAAATTTAAACTCTAGAAAAATAAAAATAAACAAAACAAAAGTTTCAATCAACTACAATATTTGTAATGTCTTCTCCGGTAAATAAAGCAACCTCCAATGATGGTTCATCTAGAGAAAGGTTAGCAATTTCAAGCATCCCAACACCTTCTTCACCCAAGTTATCAAATCCATCTCCACCAATATCCCACATTTGAGTAACACCTTCTTTGTAGCTTGGGCTTCTTTCACAACAAGAGGAGGAACAATGTTGTCCAAGTAGCTTCAAAGCTATGGATTAGAGAGTTGGTGTCACCGCCCGATTCGAGAATAAAGAACATGGTATGGTATGACTATGGTATGTCTCACACCCTGATTCGGGAATATTCCTTATTCTCGAATCGAGTGGTGACAGTTGGTGTTGAAGCTCCATGAACAATCCACCACACCGTTGGTTCCATGTGAAACCTATCATTCATAGCATCAATAGCTCCAAAGTCATCTAAGCACATTGAAAAAGAGGCATACTCCACATTGATATCTCTTCTAGTTCGGTCATCGGAAAAGTATTTCTCAAGACATTTTTTTCTTTCCCTTGTAATCTCAGCATCTTGGTGTGGAGCAACACGACTAGGATCCTTTTGCAGCCATTCTGGACTATAAAACCTAAAAGTAAAGTGCGGTATTATTTTATAAAATTATCACAGTATAAAAAGTAGATTAAATACTTTAAAAGGAAATAAGCACATAATACGTACTTAGGATTTAAAGAATGTGCCAAACAATGGAGTGGTGTGCTACTCTTAGTCCATCGCTCCAGTATAATTTGATACACCACATCAAAAAAGTCACTTTGTTCATGCAGTTGCTTGTGCTCTTTCCTATAGATAGCTGCCTTCACCTTTTCTATCATGGTATCCCACCACTCATAAACCAAATGAAGAGAATGTTTATCTGTGTCAGCCATCCTAATCATCTCATATATAGAAGCTGTAAAGGAAAGTATATAATCAATCTTATCCCAAAAGTATTCATCCAATATCTTTTCCTTCACTGCTCTTGCTTTGCCAACATCATCCTCTTTATATAAAGACCAGTTTGGACTAATCACCATTTGTTCTAGACCTTCCTTTACTTCCTTAAATCTTCTAATCATCACAAGTGTAGACGCAAACCTTGTTTCAGCAATAGAGAGCAGCTTCAATTTGCAGTGGTCCTTATACATAGTCAATCTCATATTATGGTTCACAATAAAATTTTTTATGAACCCAACATCAGCAGCAATCTCTGAAATCCAACTACATTTATCATACCAATCGTCATTTTGTTTTGGTGAACATATGCTCTTCAAAGCAAGATTAAGAGTGTGAACCACACATGGTGTCCAAAAGATATTGGGATATCTAGCCTCAACAAGTAATCCAGCAGCTCTACAAACTGGCGCATTGTCAGTGATTACTTAAACCACATTTTGATAACCAATTTCCTTAATGACATCGATAAGAAAGTTGGCAATACAATGTTTGTCCTTGTACTCTCCATCACAATTAATTCCCTTCAAGAACATAGGCCCGCTCTCACAAGTTGCCATAATGTTAATAAGTGGTCTTCTTTGTGAATATGTCCACCCATCACTACACACACTTACACCTTTAGTGCTCCACGTACTCTTGATTGGTTGTAAACATCGCTCAACGTGCCTCTTCTCTTGTTGCAAAAGAGTAGTTCTTAGTGCATTGTAACTTGGTGGAACATATCCTGTAAGCATAGAAGCACGAAAATATGAGTTTCGATAATGTGGATTCCTTGCCAGGTGGAAGGACAATCCACCTGTATAAAACATCCTTGCAACTTCAGCATCACATTGTTCTCTAGCCTCATTCTGAAAAGCTCTATCAAGGGGCCCATTCATTCCCTTTCTCTTCTTTTGCTCAATATTAGACATAGAAGAGTAAAGTAAAGAATCAGTATTAGGCAAAGACACTTGTGTTGGAGTTGCACTTTTCAACCGGTGTTCACATTCTCTCATAAGTTTTTTCATTTCTGCAAAAACTTCATCAGTAACCTTTTTGCAAGGTGCAATCCCGTTGCCTGACATTTTCACAAATGAAACTTGACTCTAGAGTAGGAGCCTTTGTAAGTATTATGACAATAATTGCATTCAAACATAGTATTTCCTCCTCCTTTTCCTAACTTGTCAAGCCTTTTAACATACTTCCATAATGGCGCATGATCATCTATCTCGATTTCATTAGCACTTGCATTATTATCTGAATGACTCATGTTCCTGAATATAAAAAAAATTCAACATATTAAATATAATATTATTAAATTAACTAACCACAATTTTTTTTTTTTATAACAATCAAATTGGTACAAAAGGAAATATAATAATATGAAATATAATAATGTAAACTTGCAAGTATATATATATATAATAAATTAATTTGTACAAAAGGAGTGGGTCGGCTGTGTTGAGAAGTGGTGGGTCACTTTAATAATAATAAATTAATTTGTACAAAACGACATGTTGGGTTGGGTTTCAATCAAAACGACTGTCACTTTATTATTTGAACAACTCAAAATCAAAATCAAAGAACGAAACACTATCTATCAGAGAAGAGAACACTATCAGATAGAGAGAGAGAGAGAGAGAGAGGTGAACATACCAACGGCCTCCAAAAAACAGAGAGCAACTTGAGGAACTGACAGATGAATTGAAGAACCAAGCTTCTTTTATTTGGGTGGTGAAGAAGATGAAGAAGATTTAATGAAGAAGAAGAAGAAGAAGATGAATTGCTGGTATGGGTATGGTTTTCCTTCTTCTTTATTTATATAAAGAAGATGAAGATCTGTCTGTAGGAATTCAATTAGGAAAAGATCTTCAAAGTTCCTAAACAAAACAGGTATCCATGTTGTTCAAGACTTCCTAGTTCTGTCAAAATTCTAATTTTCATTTTTTTTTCTGAAATTTTTTCCTAAATCGTATCCTCAAATTGGGATACCCATATCTGTCATGTCAGATACGCGTATCCTTTTGTGATTGACCGTATCCGTTGACTCGGATACGTATCCCGTGCGTATCTCTGCGTATCCGCTGCGTATCGTATCTCCGTGCGTATCAGACACGGGATACGCTGGTCTCCATGCGTATCCGTGCTTAATAGTTTACAGGTTTCTGCAATGCATTTTCTCTCCTCATTGTTGGAGGTTGCGTCACATCGGTTGGTCTTAACCACTATCATCGGCTCCTTGACTCCACATATGTTTCTTCTATTGTCTATCCTCAGTGGAACTGTTGGAGTTTGGGATGCCCTTAAAGTGCAAATCGCACTTATTGCTTGGATTATGGTAGTGCTACTCCTACTTGGTGTAGCTTTGGTGGCTTGCCCACCACCATTTTCTGTTGGTCACTGGTTTCTCCTTGGTGGTTGTCGGCTTGCTATGGTGGCGCGGCTTGTGACTGTAGGATTGTGAGGCAGATGTCTGTTAATGGTGTTAGGGTTTCCTAATGTTGTGTTGAGCTTTGTGGGCTTTTGCATTTTGTGGGTTTTTCTGCCTTTATGTGGGCCCTTCGCCTCTATGTGGGCTTAATGCCTTTATGTATGCTTTATTCATTTTGTTAGTTTTATTTGTAGGGGGCTATGTCTGTATGCATTGCATTTTGTGTGAACTCAATTATTTGAGTTCATTTTGATGTAATATGACGTTTGACCTTCTATTTAATGAAACAAGATTTCGTCCAAAACATAACAATAATCATTCTATAACGCCAAATTAAAGTAACAAAAGGATTGAATCATTTGTGTATAGTCTGAAAAATAATTTGTGCAGCATAGATGGTAGTCATCTAAAAAGAATAAATCATTAGCAATGGAGACAACTACCATAGAAGTAATTAAAAATAAACAAGATTAAAGATCTCAAACTTGCAAGGAAAAGAAAACCTTAATTAAGGCAACCACAATCACACAATCTGCTACTAAGATCTTACCTCAGATCTAACTTTGGAGAGAGAGAGAGAGAACAAAACCAAAAAAAATATGAGAAAATCGCAAAAAGAAAACAAAAAAGAACAAAAAGAGAGGGAGATGAATAGGGTTCATAGAGAAAGTCAAAAGACATTCATGCTGCCATTATGCGACTGCTCTCCTTGGGAAGGATGAGTCTTTACTTTTGTATTTATTTTCAGTTTGCAGTTATTTTGTGTTTTTTGGGTCATCATATATGGGCTATAAAAAATTTGTGTACCTCTCTCAAATTTGGGCCTTGTGCTGTCGGCATGGTTGCCTTGGGCCAGGGTCGACTCTGGTCGGAGAGATGCACCAACTCAAATTAAAAAGTTGACCAAGGGGTTATGAAACTAACCATTCAAAGAGCCTGAAAAATTCATACCTAAATTAGGCCAGTTGGACATGGAGTGAACCCATCCCTTGCACACAAGTTCGAATCTTCCATCATAATGTATTTTAATTTAGAGAAGTTTAAACTATCACTTGTTTTTTTTTAATAAAAAAATAAATAAATAAAAACTTTAAAAACTAATGTATGGGTATGGGATGACAGAAATTCCAGTCGGGTCTGGTCCCTATTGGATCCTCGACCCTAACGGGGGGAGATTTCGAGGCAAAACGGGAATCTGATATTGGAATCCCTGAATTTAAAAAATCCTCGTCGGATATGGGGAGGAGATGGTATTGACATCCCTATCCCTGAACCCGACCCAATATATAAACACTTAAATAATCAATATACTTAATGAGTAACGCAACATGCACCAACTTGTTTACCAACACATGTGGCACATGACATGGCAACCCATGTCATCTGCCATCTCATCTATTTTAATATTGGTGCCCGTAGCGTTATTAAATATTAAATGGGTTTTTTATATTTAATTATATCTTTTTTCAATGAGAAATTCTTTTATTTATATAATAAATTATGTAATTAAAATAGATGAGATGGCAAATGACATGGGTTGCTATGTCATGTGCCACATGTGCTGGTATCCAAAAGTTGGTAAATAAGTTGGTGCCCGTAGCGTTACTCATACTTAATACTTCCCATTCCAGCTATTAAAAAAAGGGCTAACATCAAAAGACACCCTCTAGATTTGGGATCATTCTCAATATGGGTATCGGAGTATTAATTTCATCAATTTACACCATAATGTTTTCAAACTTGTCCAATTTTATCCTCCGGTTAGGTTGACCGTGTGGTTAATCGTTAAATGCTGATATGGTGCATGTGGGGACCACTTTTTTATTTAATTGAAATAGAATATTATTTAAAAACTATAATTAAATTTAATAAAAATTATTACATATTAAAAAACCTAAAAAATCCAACAACAAAAAACCATCTCTCTCACTTTCCCTCTCTCTGGGAAAAACTCAATCGCTCAAACTTGCCCAGCTTCTCCCCATGCCCAAATCCATCGATCTCTCTCTTTCATGAAGCCACCAGGGTGACGGCTGAGGTGATTCTGACGAGGCCGGTTCGGGAGCCGAGCTCGATGATTTGCAGAGGTCTACGATGCGAGTCCAAGGCTGTGAGAGTGGCCCGGTGCTAGGGTTCAGTGGTGGTCGTTGAGAAGAGTGAGGAGCGTGGTGGCGGCTGGCTAGCGATATAGTTTTTCCCCGAAAGAGAGAAAGTGAGAGAGCGATGGTTTTTTGTTGTTGGATTTTTTCGGTTTTTTAAAATTTAATAATTATATATTAAATTTAATTATAGTTTTAAAATAATATTCTATTTCAATTAAACAAAAAAGTGGCCCCCACATGCACCACGTCAGCATTTAACGATTGACCACACGGTCAACTTAACGGAAGTATAAAATTGAACAAGTTTCAAAATATTAGGGTGTAAATTGATGAAATTGATAGTCTGGGGCCTATATTGAGAATGACCCCATACCTAGAGTAGAGGGTGTCTTTTGATGTTATCCCTGAAAAAAAATATAGAACTAACCCTAACACTTATTGTGTGGCATCTACTCTCACCCTCTCTCATTTTTGTTTCCTTCTTACATCGATGTATCTTCTCTTCTTATTCTTCTTTTCCACATCCTCTCTTCTTCTTCTTCTTCTTCTTCTTATTCTTCTTTTCCTCCTCCCCTTCTTCCTATACACACATCTTTCTCTTAATATCATATATCTTTTTTTGCTTTGAATTTTTGTTGTTAGTAAATTTGATAAATAGAAACCCATTTCAACTATAAACATTGTTGATTAGTGGAAATGGATGCAAAGTTATAATTGGTATGATTTGATAAATTCTGGATTTTTAGATGCCTTAGCTATTCAAGATCAAACCTGCAATTTTGTTATGGTAACAAATAAGGCTAAAAGCCCAGGAACTCTTCCATTTTGGCATGAAAGAATCGGGGATTCGGGATGGGGAATATCCCTCCGAAGGGGATGGGGACGGAAATTCCCCAAAACCTTTTAAACGGGGTTGGAAGTCTCATATTCGATAATTGGTCTTGAAAGCTTTTGCCATTGTGGACTAGTACTAGATTAAGTTAAAGGAGTGCGACTGAGATGAGATCGTCTCAAAGGAAGCTGAGGAATCACAGAAACAAACAAAAAAGACTGACTTAGAATAAGTGGCAACATTCAAGGGAAATAACCAGAACCAGCCGAAATTATGGGCTAAGACTGTTCAACACAAGTCTAGTAAATATAATCATAACAAACCTCCAGTTGCATCCCATAATTGAAAAGCCACATATACATTATGAGTATTTTTTTGCCAAACATTTTAACAATTAATTAGAGCAATTGATCATATGAAATCATATTGGTTTTATATATTTAATATTTGGATCTAGACTCCTTCATTTTTTATTTTTTCAACGAAAAATGAGTGTATAATGACTATTTTGGAATGTCGATTAGCAGTTCAATAATTTTATTTATTGCTTGCATTGATCAGCAGCCCCCTATGACTATATCATATATATAATGATGACTATGACTTGGTTGAACGAGCCTAGGTAAATAGAAGGCGATCGAATCATGTAATTTTAATGCCAAAACTGAAAAATCAGTTAATTACTAGTATTCCTCATGCTTTGACTAACAAGTAGTGAATTATGAACAGTTCCGACATATACATCAACTCGGAGTCAAATGGTTGAACAGTGATTAAAGAACGTTCATATATATATATATTTAATTCGGTCTTGTTTGGCTTTTCCATTTTCTATTTTCTATCATTTTCTTTTCGGGGGCGCGGGTGTATTCGTGACTTATATTGAACTTTTCTAGTAGTGTAAGTGGACCAAAGTGAAAAGAATAATAACAAGAATAACCAAACCACGAATAAACTTTTGACAAATGACCAAATGTGGTATGAATATGTTTCCTTGTTTTTCTTCTCATCCTTTTGTGGTTGCAAAGAAACATAAACTTGCAAATGTGAAGTTAATAAAAGCAGGGAAGTGGGGTTTATATTTCAGTCTTTGAG